TTATTTACAAATTATACAATAAAAAAAATTTAAATTCAAAATCTTTAAAATTATTATTCAGCAAGTAAGTTATTATTAGTAAGTTAAATATGTTTATTTTCAATTATTCAAGGACTTAATTGCATTGGTAAGAATGTGCCAAGACCATGACTAGGGATGTCAATGGGTCCCGCGGGGTCGGGGAGTCCTTCCCCGTCCCCGTCCACGCAAATGATGAGGACGGGGATCCTCGCGGGAATTTTTGACAGGGGCAAATTTTGCCCCCCATCCCCATTCTCCGCCAATTAACATCAAAATACATATTTTTTACATCAAACATAAGTAAAAATTAATGAGGCGTGCATCAAACATATAGTGAGTGAGGATGATGGGATACTGCAGCTTCGACAGCAACTCTAGGCTTCAGCAGCAGATTGACAGCAACTCCAGGCTCCAGCAGCAGATCTATAGCAACAGCAGCAGCAGATCTATAGCAACAGCAGCAAATCTATAGCAGCAGCAGCAGATCTGTAGCAGCAGCAGCAGATTTGTAGCAGCAGCAGCAGCAGATTTGTAGCAGCAGCAGCAGAAGCCAAAAGGGAAGGGGAAAGTCGAAGGTGAGGCTGTGAGAGTGAGTGAGGAAAAACTGCAAAAGCAAGAAGGGGAGGGCTATGAGGTGTGCTGCGTGAGTGAGAAAGGGAAATGAATAGGGTTAGGAAATTAGGGTTGGAAGGAGGATGATGGGTTGTGTTGGGATGGTTTGGGTTGGGTTGGGTAAAGTTTAATTTTTATTGAATTGGGTTTGGGTTTAATTTTAAAAACTAAATTAAATTTAAAATAGAATTAATTTATATACATTTTTTACATTTTTCGTGGGGATGAGAATCCCCACGAGGCTCCACTGGGCGGGGAAAATTCCCCGCGAAATTTCGCGAGGAGAAAATGCCCCTCATTTCCGCCCCACGGGGAGGAATATTCCTCCCCGTCTCGTCCCCGTGACAGGGATCCCCGTGAGGCTCCGCCGGGATCGGGGCAAATTGCCACCCCTAACCATGACTTGGATCATAGTTCCATTTGCAATTATGTTACAATTGTGTTTGGAATTGTGGTTAGGGATTTTATTTTTTTAGACATATAGTACTTTTAAATATATATGTATTTAATAAATTTTTTGATCTATTTTTTCCAAAACTTATAAAAAACTATAACAGCTTTACAATAATTTTATATATAAAATTAAAACACTTATTTTGAATCTTTCTAATTGTATTTTCATAGATATGGATGACAATAGGTCTCGTAGGGCGATAACCCCTTCCCATCTTGTCCCTATCAAGATTTTCTCAAGAATTTTTAGTAGGGGCAAAAAATTCCCCCAATCCCCAGCCAACGGGCAAAAAAGCATTAATGTCAAATTTTCTTCTAGATAAGTATCAAAAAATAATTTATTTTCTTTTGATTTATTTACATTGAAAATTATTGGTTTTTTTTTATCATTATTGCGTTTAATTATAGTATTTTTTTTTTTATAATTTCCATCTTCTATTCAAGTAAGTTCGGTTTCACTATATTTTTAAAAAATAAATAATCAAACACTAAAGTATCTTTTAGTTACAACGATAGCATAATACAATCACAATCACAATTACAACACTTCACAATAATCCCAAATGCAGCTTACATTTATGTATAAGTTGTAGCCCTTCCCTAAATTACACAAAGAACAAGAAAAAGTCTTTTTATAGTTGGGGAATTGTTCACATAAAAAATAAATGCAAGTGATGAATATGTTTGGGTTTTAACAAAGACGAATTTATTATTATATTGTTACAAACAAAGACTAATTTATTATAATGCCGAATGATGGATTTTCTAATTAATTTTATTTTGTTTGATTTTATATTACAAAATGATAAAAGATAGTTATTTTTCCCTTTTTACTTATCTCACTTAATCATTTGAATATTATGTAACTCAAATTAAAAAATTTTTATTTTAACTAAGAAAAACTATAATGCCGAATGATATTTAATTCAATCAATAAAATCCTATCAAAAAAAAAAATTCAATCAATAAATTCATATATCATATTACTAGTTTATGTAAAATTAATTTTCCTTTTCATAGTCTCTTGCAGCAAGCAGCTGTGTTGAAAGTGTACTTATCCAGAATGGCCTTGAGCACAATTGGAGTTACAAAGAAGTATTGCCTTTATAAAATTCGCTCTTTACCAGATTATTGTGTAAAAGAAAATCCTTTGCATAGAAATCAATTGATTTCCTTGCTACGAGAGCAATGCATTTTGATACACAAAAAATCTTTAGAGTTACATCTTTGGGCAAAAATTTATATTTAACCCTTTATCTTAATAAATTTGTAAGTTTTAACCCCTTTTACTTATATGAATTGAAAAAAATAACCCTTATTTAATATTAAATTATAACGTTTTGTTAATTCTGTTAGTTGACTATTAACTCTGTTAATTAATTGTTAGTATTCTCTTATAGAAAATATAAAATTTAAATTCAATTTTATTTGTTAGCTCCGTTAACGAAACACTGATAGTCAACTAACAGAGTTAATAGTCAGTTAATAAAATTAATAATTAACTAATAAAATTAACAAAACATTATAATATGACGTTAAGTAATTAAGTAAAAGTTATTTTTTCAATTCATATAAATATAGTATAAGATAAATGATTAAAACTTATAAATT